CCGCTGTTCCCGAACTGTCAATATCGTCTGCTGTCGTTTGTAAATAATTCCCCCCTTAAGAGCTCGTCTTTCTTCTTACTGGGGACCAGTCGGGGCATAGCATAGCGTTATTAACCCTCATCTCGGCTAGGGTCGCTACAAATTGGTGACAGTCGGTTGGATCGCGCCATGTCAGACGAAATTTTGGACCGACTCGTCAAGGCGATAGAGAAGTTGTCTTCAAATGGGGACCAACTTACAAAGCCAGAAAAACTGACGATATACGACGATTATGACCTCTGGGAGGACCAAATGAAGTTGAACCTCGAGTCCGTCAGCGAAGAGAACCGATCACTGGCCATCCTTGGCCAACTGGACAGTGAGATCTACGCCGTTGCCAGAGCGGCCAACATCACTCCTTCGCTGACTACCGCGACAATTTTCGAGCGTCTTCGGCGAGAGTTCGGTCGCTCGTCCATGCCATGGGTTGCTCGCGCAACACTGAGGGACCGTCGCCAGCATTCTGGAGAGTCCGTGGTCGACTTCCAGCGACACTTGCGTGTCCTGACCAAGCACGCATCTCCAGACGACTCTTGCGCTGCCCTGGAAGACAGGATTCGCGATAACTTCGTCGATGGTGTTGCCAACCCCTACATTCGTCGCAACTTCATGCTGGACCCACCCAAAACTCTCAAAGCGGCACTCGACATCGCCCGCGATGAAGAAGTGGTCTCCACCGCGCTATCCTCATCCCCCGGACCTTCTTTCTCAGTGGCCGCGGCTCCCCGCTTCCAAACTGCCTCTGCACAAGGCCAGATGGTCAATGTCTTCGCCATGGGACAGCGACCGACCTGCGACATCGGGACGCAAACAGCGAGATGGCAGTGGGACCCCCAACCACCGTCCACTCCTCGATATGGCCAGCGGTCTACTCCTCGGCGTTGAAACTGGAGGGTCCAACGCGGTCGTTGGACTCGCCCTCAATAAATGCCCGGTGTTCATACGATCACCGCAAGTGAGGAAGAAGAGAACGGTAAGTTAGTAATTTTATCTGATTTATTGATTGCAAATATAGGTTCTATGCCTTATTGCCCTACCGTAAATGCATCTATAAGTAATATTAAATTTCCATACTTAGTTGATTCAGGGGCAGGTTGCTCCCTCATCAGGCATCACGTATTCCGCCAGTTACAAACGAAAGTTAGATATTGCAGTAAACCCAAAGTTTGCCTGAAAACGGCTAACGGCACCACCTTACAGCATGTAGGCATGGTAGAACTTGGGATAGAGCTAGGTTGTGCTGTATTTAATCATAGGTTTGTTGTTTGCTGTGACATAGCATGGGACTGTATATTAGGCGCAGATTTCCTTCATGCATTTAAATGTTCTCTCGACTTTAACGTTAACGCCCTCCGTGTCAGCGGTACTAAAGTGCCACTTACGTTTGAGATGCCTCTCCGTCAACCAGAAGTTAACACAGTCAAGCTAGAATGTATAGAAAGCCTAATCCCACCTACCTTGGATAAGGAATGTTCGACCAGTTTATATAATAGCACTAAAAATAATCAAATTTAAAAAAAGATAGCATCATTGATAAACATAGAACATATAATGATATTCTTCTATTTTCCTCCCTTTCTCGTTTTCATCAGCTATGTCACCTGACACTAAATATCCCTTATAAAGCTAATAAAAATATATCCTTCGATAAAACCCTGCATATTAGTCGTGCGTATGTCTATATTAAAGCCATATTAAACATATATAGAACTATATTAGGTCATAGTAAACAGTCGACCACTACTCCTATAATTTCACATTAACAAGAACAATATGATACATGATTCAATAGTATTTTGACAGTTTTGATTGTGACTTACCATTGAATGCTTCTTACTCCTGATATATATTCATCTTTTCCAGCTCTTAGTCCAGACAATGATGGTAAGCCTCCTGAAAAATACGTAGGAACTGTGCGACCGCCCCCTTACAGCTGGCCAGATAGACTGACAACCCGCAACTAGAGCAGACCGAAATTTACCCAACAGGAAAATAATTTCAAGGTCAGGCCGATATCAAAGTTCTTCAATTGCCATGAAGGACATATTATTCATGCCCCCGAAAACTACCAAATTGCAAACTTCAATTTTTATATTGTACATAACGTTATTTTTTTAAATTTTGTTATTATTTTCCCTTAGAACTGAGGTTTTTTTTAACTTAAAATAAACTCTCAATTCGCGCTCTTTTGGCTAACCAGACACCCGAAGCAAATGAAGTCAAAGTGCAGTTGAAATTGACGAGTTTGTTTTAGGTTTTTTTCCTGAGTTCAAAGGGGACTGACAGTGCCCAAGGGGCGCTACAATAAACCTATTCTATTCAATAATTTGATACACGAGTTGAAGGACATTTTCGATTGGGACGGCCGTTCACTCGGGCGAACCAATGTTGCGCAACATGAAAGTGATACGGGTGCGGCCCGGCCAGTTAAAATTCCGCCTAGACGATTGCCGGTATTCTACCAGACACAATTAAAGGCAATGATAGATGACATGCTCGACCGAAGGATTATCAGGCCATCTAATTCTCCCTGGTCCTCTCCAGTCGTATTAGTCATGAAGAAGGACGGATCCTTGAGATTATGTGTCGACTACCGTAAATTAAACGAATTGACAACTAAAGACTCCTTTCCATTACCTCGTATCGACGCAACCCTAGATGCTCTCTCAGGTAATCGTGTATTTACTACTCTAGACCTGGCGGCCGGATACAGGCAGGTAGAAGTAAGGCCATCTGACCGTGAGAAAACAGCTTTTTCGGTGCCCACTGGTCTATACGAGTTTGAAATCATGCCTTTCGGGTTAGCCAATGCGCCCAGCACATTCCAGCGGCTCATGAACCAGGTCCTTGCCCAGTTTATTCCAAAGGTTTGTTTGGTGTACTTAGACGACATCATCGTGCTCGGGAAGGATTTCGAAGACCACCTACAAAACTTACAATCAGTATTCATCAGCCTGCGGCAGGCAGGCCTTATCCTCAAACCAGCAAAATGCGTCTTCTTTCGAGATAAAGTAAAGTTCTTAGGACATGTGGTGTCTGAATCGGGTATCGAAACGGACGAAGATAAGGTAAAGGAAGTTAGGGACTGGCCCACACCTAATAACGTAGCAGGGGTCAGAAGTTTCTCTGGCTTGGCTTCGACCTACAGAAAGTTCATTAAAGATTATGCCCACATAGCCACGCCGTTGAATAAACTCACGCAGAAGGGAGTCAGATTTAAATGGACCCCAGAATGTGAAGCTAGCTTCCAAACCCTTAAGAATAGCCTTTGTTCCAGTCCTGTCTTGACTTTTCCTGACATTAGCGACCAAGCGGGCATTTTCGTACTCGATACAGATGCCAGCGAGACTGCGATTGGTGCGGTGCTGTCTCAGCGGCAGGCGGACGGCACTGAACGAGTAATCCAGATTTAAGTCGGTCACTCACCAAGGCAGAAAGAAGATACTGCGAAACCAGGAAGGAGATGCTTGCGCTCACCTTCTTCATCGAAGAATGTCGGCCATTCTTGCAGTACCGCAAATTTCTCGTCCGAACCGGTCACAGTTCCTTGGCATGGCTACGCAATTTTAAAAATGCCGAGGGTCAGGTCGCGAGATGGCAAGAGCGACTGGCCGGGTTTGAATTCGACTGTAACCATCGGCCAGGGCGCCAGCATAACAACGCAGAAGCCCTCTCGAGGAAACCGTATCGTCCCCACGGCGAATGCCCGTCTTGCACAGACATTAGCATCGGCAACATAGCACTTCCTGATGGCCAGAGCAGCCTTTGGGCTCAGGCTCAGCGCGATGATCCTCATATAGGCCCCATCTACTACAGAAAGCTAGGCGAATCGCGGCCTTTGAGTGGACCCGAGCTTCGGGGTTTAAGTTACGAGACGCGCTGTCTGCACACGGTGTGGGATAAGCTTTTTCTAGATAATGGGGTATTGTTCTACCGCGACGGTGATCAGTATCCCCGGCGTATCGTTCTACCGTTATCCATGACCGATGATGTCCTCACGCGAATACACACTCAGCTAGGGCACGTAGGAATCCATAAGACCGAGTGGGCTGTAAGGAGGAGATACTATTGGCCCAACTTAAGACGATATGTGTGGGATTTTATTCGGTATTGCAACTTGTGTAATCAACTAAAGCCGCCACCTCACTTGAACAGAGCGCCCCTTCAACCAATCTTGACAGGCTACCCCAACGAACTTGTCGGCGTTGACATCATTGGACCCATAGCTCCATCAGTCCGGGGAAACCGTTACATTCTGGTCATGGTGGACTTCTTTACGAAAATGGCTGAGGTGGAACCATTGCCCAATATGTCGGCGGAAACGGTCGCTCAGGCCATTTTTAATGGTTGGGTATGTAGATGGGGAGCCCCAGACCAAATTCACTCAGATCGAGGAAGTTCATTTGAAAACGCTATTCTTCACAGTCTTTGTAAGTACTTACGGATCAACAAGACACGCACTACTGCTTACCACCCGCAGGGTAACGGACAAGTTGAGCGAACGAATAGAACGCTAATCGGATTGTTAAAAGCCTTTGTTGATCGTCAGGCACCCTTCACGTGGGACGATGCCTTGCCCGCATGCATGCTCGCATACCGTTCCACGATTCACTCCTCGACCCAGCAGTCGCCGTTCGCTCTCACCTTTGGTCGGGAAATGCGGATACCGGAAGACCTCCAAGTACCACTGGAGAATAACCAAGTACCAGTAAATTCCTATGTCACCAGGCTACATAATAAGTTGCGTATTGCAGCCGAGGAAGCGCGAACACACTAACGTGGATCCCAAAACCGACAGAAGGACCATTATGACAAACTTGCCCATGGGTGCCCATATGTTGTTGGTGACATCGTATGGCTCAGAGAACATACAGCCCCGCAAGGAATACCGAGTAAATTTGGGTTAGACTGGTCTGGTCCGTACACTGCAACCAAGGTGATCTCTGACACGACCTGTGTGATTCAGGACCGCGAGCGACCTTTCGCGGCGGAAATTACCGTCCATTTTAATCGACTAAAGTTGGGAGAGAGACCGGATGCATTTGGTTCCGAAGATCAAGGAAATACCGTCTGTGATGTCGATCGTGACCAAGTTAGAAGGATCGTTGAAATTCCACCTGAGGGTGGGGACGAGTTAGAAGTACCCTTTAGCGACAGGCGGCACAATGTTGAAGACCACAGGTCAATGCTGCATGACGTCAGTCAAAACGAGGGCACAGCAATCGCTGAGGACAGCGACGTCTCTATGGAGGAGAGAGTGATGTAAAGATGGAGCAAAAGTTTCCTCGTTTTCGCTAGTTAGGCTAAGATGGATAACAAATTGCCAGTACAAAGCTCGGTGTTCCCATTGGATGGCACACGCAAGTTTGCCATTTTAGATTCTCCAATTCTATTGGTCCAGGACACTTTTAACTGTCGTTCTCATTGGATCTCGCCAAATTAAGTCAATAGTTTTCGACTAACCATTGGGTATTTCGGTTTGCCTATCAGCGATCTAGGAGAGACCAGTTTAGGCCAGAATGTCAATAAAAACGGTCCCGAAGATTCTATTGGCTACGATTTACATTCTAGTATTCTTGCAATTGATTTACGCATACCCATTGGCCTATTTTTATGTGAACCTATCCTAATTGTCTGGAGGCCCTATAAAAACCGAGGAGGATTGACGTTGACCACCCTTGGACCGGAGGACTCCTTCTGGACGCCACGGCTGCTCCTGCATCGTCTTCGCCGCCCGGATCAAACGAGGCTTGCATCCAAACAAGCCTGTCCTCGCCATAGGACATCCCGCTGTTCCCGAACTGTCAATATCGTCTGCTGTCGTTTGTAAATAATTCCCCCCTTAAGAGCTCGTCTTTCTTCTTACTGGGGACCAGTCGGGGCATAGCATAGCGTTATTAACCCTCATCTCGGCTAGGGTCGCTACAAAGCCAACATCAAGATGAGTGTCCTTTTAGGGTATTGTCTACTATTACAAAGTCGGCTGTTCGTACAGGTGTCGTGTGAGATCCGTCAACATTGAAATTTTTCTGTCCATTGGAAATATATGTACATCACCGCTCCAATAAAACAACTATGGATATCAACGAAAAAGAAGTAACAACTATAATGGTCATGTTGAGTGTGATTTATAATGTTCAGCAGAAAGGATGATAGATTCGCTGTAAGATCCATCAGACTAAGGCGCAACCATAGCTTCATACCGATCTAAAATGTGAATTCTGTCCGACTCTTGAAGAGCACGACTTACAGGACTTTCGTACGCTAAGTCTGTGTCCCAATGAGTTAGTTGAATGAAGTGAATCTAACGTTACTGTCATGCTGCAGGCGTAGACACAAGATTTGGGGATTTAATTTAATGGATAATGAACGAATTTGAACTCGCTAAACAAGAAAAAGTGCCGGAGAATTCGAAACTATGAACAGGCAGATACAAATTGTTTGCCGTTTTGAAAACCACTGCTCCCGACACAGGTTTTGTTGTGTCTCACAGAACCGGACTGCGGCAAAACTCCGGCGTAGCTAAGAGCGAATAACCAGTATCTGAGCTCCGCTCATTACCAGGGAGACAGAAGGGGAGAATAAAATTCTGATGAAAACAATAACGGATTGCTTTCCAACAAATTAAAACGTCCAGAATCAATGACACTTGGTCGCAGTGCAAGACTAACCCCAAGGAAGGTTGCGGCTGTTATGCACGTGTGTGTAATTTTAATGCAGCCTAGTTGCAACTGCTGATCGGATACTGTCAGATCTTTTCTGATAACGCAAATGCTATCGCGAACAAGTTACGCAGGGGCGCGAAATCCCTCAAAAGTATTCTTTGTTTAAACGAAATATCCTCCCTCCCTTCTGCATTCAAAATAGCTTGCACAATATTGTGTGGCGAGTACACCAAGTTAACCCTTCGTGGTGATGACATTTTGGTCCTTATTTGCTCTGTTTGGCCTCATCTAAATAGGAATGGTGCTGGTTCAGTAGTCGGTCATCTAGCATGTTAGTTCTCCAGCAGGTGACCGGCAGCTGTTAGCCCAAGCAACCTGGTCTAGTATGAAGCTCTAATCCCGTGAAAAAAATTGAAAACTGCAAAACACTGCTTAACTCCGGTCATTTATTCCTGCTCTGGGTTGCCTTCATTTCCCTGGCAGCAGTTTTTCTCCTAAATGACTTCAATGATCCAAACGGCACTTAATTCTGACCCCGATAAGTGAGTTTTTCTATGCTCATTCGATCCATATTGTATATTTATCCTCATAATACTGTAAAACGTCACGTTAAGTCATGTTGTTGAGGGAATAAATATTTCACCCTTGAGCGCCCTTTTGATGTCCGAAAATAACGATAGAATCCATTTTTTCAGCAAAAATCCTAAAATTTTTAAATCAGTTGGTATGTGTGGACCAGTCGCAAACTGCTGCCACCGACAGTAAATGAGCATCTAGTTTGTATTTAAATGTTTCAACAGTTTCCGATAGGACAGCGACGCCAGGGGATCCGTTTCAGGCCCGTTGACCTCTGTGAGAAGGCGTTCCATCGCCTGTCCGTAGTAATTAACTGTCGCTTCAGATTAAAGGAATTACCATGCAGACGATCAATCCAAACTAATTCGAAAAATTCAAGGGCATTCGCACGGCCCCCGACAACCCGGCAGCTTGGGATGAAGTCACGGCGCATTTGCCTGTAATTGAGAGGAAAGAATCAAAGTTCCATCAGGCTGACTTTGTAGGGCGGATGATCCAGAATCTTAAACGTCTTCTTAGTCATCGCCTGCACCCCTACAAGCTGTTGATAATCCTTTTTAGATCACGGACGCCAAGCTTGAACAGCATGCTGCAAATGAGATCAACCAAATGTCCTTTAAGTTTTTCAAAACAATCCCTTGCCTGTCTGCACAAATCCTCGCCATGGCGCAGATTAAACCGATGTCGCGCTTTTAGCTGCTTTTGGACACTGTAGAGATGGCTTAAGCGATGGGGCTATTAGAAAACCGAGGTCCTTCTGTTCCTCAAAACTTGATAGGGGTTGCCCATCAAGGAGAAATTATCATCCCCACTGAGTCTTCTGGTACGGAGCTTAGAACAACGCACTTACCAACGTCAAAGTCCAAAAGCCAACGATCAGACAAACTGCCAAGTCGGTTGAGGCTCTCTAAAGTGCGTGCCTGTTTGCGTCAAATCTGATGACTTCCCACAGTTTAACATCGTCTGTAAATATAAGGACTCTGCAAACCAGGTTTTTGACACGGCCGTTATTGAAGGAGACGAAGAGATGACCCTAAGACCGAGTCCTGAGGGACATCACTTAGAACGACAATAGGGTTTGGCTTCGAGCAATCAACGTACATGGTTTTCGATCTCGCCGAAAGAATACCTGCGATCCGTGTCAGCAAGATTTATCTTATTCCTATTTCAGACAGTTTTTAGAGTAGGCGTTTCTGAGGGACACTGTCGGACGCCTCTTAGAAATCCGTGTACTTGACTTCAATCTGAACATCGTCGTCTAGCGCGAGAATCCACTGCTCGCTCGAGAGCAATAAGCTGGCAAGACAAGATCGTTCCCAACAACTTTGCTTCTTTGATATTGCACCGCTCTAATTCCACGGAAAATGCCAGGAAAAAATATATGTCTAAGTGCGGAACCGGCGTTTACAGAGCCTCATACAAGTGCCCCTTTAAGTGCTAAATAGAGCAATTTATCTATTTGCTGACAGTGTGGTCTGAGACTTATTTGTTGTAGTGAGTGCCAAGGCGAAGAACCAGCCCAAGAGTTTGGACTTTCCGCCTATTTCAACAACTCCTTCACCATTAGCATCGTCCACTACTTCGACTAGGTCCTTTGGTTCTCCAAATTTCGTTGGTGCATTTACATGCCCTTCCAGATGGAGGTCGGATGTGGTCCACTAACTTACGCTAAAGGAAGTTTGCGCATCATCAGCTGCTAGATTTTCACACTCTGCTGCAGGTTCATCGAAATCGCCAGCAATTTAGAACCTCCTGGTGGTTAGCTACTTCCTTGGTCAAATGAAAGAATGACCTGTCAGTTGCACACGCAATATTTGGTGGCCTGTAAATCGTCAGGAGTTCTACGTTTCGTGCACTACTATTTGTTATGTTTACGCATGCGGATTCATATTCAACGGAGGTGTTGGTCTCGTCCAGCTCTCGAAATTTTATGCCCTTACATATACGACTAAATCACCGTCCTGTCTATTTTGACGTTCTCTGTAAAATAGGCAGTATCTTTACATCAAAATCTCGGCATCCGCGATTTCGGCTCTGAGCCGTGTTCCCGTTGTGGCAACGGCGTTGGGGTTTCGTTTTCAAGCTAAGGCCTTGACATCATCGAATTTCGTAATGATTTTTCGGACATTATTGTGCCAAAAATCTCAATTTTGCTTGAGTAACTCCAGTATACAGCCGTCCGTTCATCTAGCGAGATTGAATGCGAAAATCTGCTGGTGCTGACTGAGACGGACTGGTGCCCATCACACCAAGGCTCTTAGAGTTGTTGACATTTTCCAGAAAACTGACCTCTGGATATGTATAACTCTCCCGTTCGGCATTTTGGGATATTCTTCGCCCAGGCTGGACGTCCCGAGGAGTTCCGCCTTGGGCCCTATCCGCGGGCGGAAACTTCCACCGGAAAAACTGACGCTGAACACTTGTTCGTTATTCTGAAATTAATTCAATGGCGTTTAGTATAATTATCATAAATTTGATGCTTTTGTTTGTATATCCTAAAGTCTGCAGCCTATAAGGTGGCGGAAATAGCAGTCTTCTAAACATGATGGTTCAACTCAGGCCTTCCGCTGGTAGGTTAAAATCTTCTCGAAAAGAAAGAACAAGTTATGGAAAAATCGCCGCTTGACCTATACTAGTTGGATTGCATGATTTGGAAACCTGTTAACGTACGTATGCGCATTATGTATTCGAATATTTCAGCCCTGGGGATGACAGACATCCTAATGCAAATTAATAGTGAATGTTTAATGGTTCCATCCATGATGAAAATGTTCTTAGTACTGCATGCATCGCAACGGTAGGTGCGTGGATTCAACATGCTTACATGATGCAGATGGACGGCAGCTACCCTACAAACTGCCAAGCTCATTTGTTGGTAAATATAGAGCATCGCTGAAAACATACTACGAATCGCACGGAATTTCAAGGAATTTTTGTACCCTTTTGTAATGGAACCATAGACCAGGTTCTTTATAGGCAAGGATGCGGCGGTGATGAACGCTCTTCCTGTATTGTAGGCTTCCAC